TTATAATATAACACACTTCTTTGATTTTCTCCTTTAATTCAGCATTTAATACTACTAGAATTTTTATCGGCGCAGAAAAACAAGTTCGATTAATATTTATATTGTAATTTGATAGTAATCAATTAAGATAAGATAAAATTTATATTTTCATACAGAAAATGAGTGGTACAGAATGATAATATGTAATAAACAACAAACTATTGAAACGTGTGTATCATTGTAAACACTTTTTTAAAAATCGAAACATCCCTTTGAAAAACAACAGTTGTAACTGGAAGAAAATATTAATTTGTAACATAAAAAACGTTATTTTCCTATATAAAACTATTATTCAATGTTTTAATTCTCATACTTTTTATTGTACTTTATGTATTTCTATGGGGTTTTATTTTTAATGTGGAGAAGGAGATCCATTGTCATAGACATTTCCTACAGTAAGTAAGATAAATAATAAATAAATAAATATATCATGGAGTATGAATAGATTTGAAGCTGAATACTCAAATATTTCTAAAAAAATGTCCATATTAGGGAACTTAAAATATACAATTAGCCTATATTTTCTAACACACTTTTTAATTTAATACGTTATAATACCTGTGCTATAATTTAATATAATAAATAATATATTATAATAATATTATAACAACACAATCTAATACACTTTATACTGTATTTTTCAAAGAATATTTCTTTTGTATAATTTGCAGTAAGTGGGGAAATTACTGTATTCTACGAATATAAAATTTGATAAGGAAAATTGATAACTTGGATTACAACCGATTCCAGTAAATAATCGAAAATGAATTTTCCAGTGGAAAAGTAGAAATACGTAATAATAATAATAAAGCTAATTTCTTGATTTATGATTTTATAAATGGAACAAAATAAATCGATAAAGAGTTAAGACAATATGATTAAATGAAAGAAACTAATGAAGTAATATTTAAGCTAAATTAAAATAGCAGAAACGTGCTCAAATATATTAAATGATTTAATATTTTACGAAAATACAAACCTAATCTATGCAATTGGAAAGAAATTTAAATGAAAACGTAAGTGGTCGAAACATTAGAACACTTAAAACAAGAAAACTCTTAGTGCTTAACACTTAGCAGAGAGAAGAAAATAAGAAATAAAGTATATGAATTAAACCAATAATACAGAAATCAACAGATAAAATATATTGTGCAATTAAGTTTATATTGATTAAAATTCCTAGAGAAAAAGCTGTATTAATAAAACTGTATTTTCATTCATTTCTCTTTACTTTTACAGATCTTGATGACATAAGACATACTGAAAAGTATGTAATTCATATATTTTAAAATACAACTTTAATTATGTGACAGATAAATTCTTCACTATTTTATAATTAAATTTCTTTTTTATAAAATTATTTATCCAAACACAATTTAGTAGGGTATAACAGTTCATTTGGTCAACTGAACTGACCTCCATTCTTCTATTTTGATGAAATTCATATGAAAATATCATTAATCACTAAGATTACATCCATTTAAAGTAACATAATAAATATATATTGAGTTATTTTTATGTCATTTTTTTTAAATATACCTTTTTAAAATAAAATGGAAGATTAATTATTATAAAAGGATAAGAAATTTGTACAAGATGGAGTAGAATTACAATTAAATTTCACATATGCTGAATTCACAATTTATTATTAAATTACCAATATAAATTCTAGAGACAATTTTTAACAAATTCTCAGCAAAGAAACTGTAATTAACTACGAAAATATAAATTACGTAACGTCAAAAGACAGAAATAAACGCCGATGTTTTACTCCTTTTTTCTACCTGTAATGGAACAAGGATTAAAAAAGCATCCATGTACAACGAACCAGACTTTGCAATAGTGGAAGTCATCGCGGATGACGTAGGGGGTCCACCCCAAAATTCACCCATCAAAAAAAAATGTCAGAATCTGTACCGGATTCGATTCCGGATCCTCACAACGAGGGGACTTTACGCGTTATCGCGTGGCTTATCCGGACGAATGTAGGTCAAAACCAACAACCCGAGAGCGTGAGAAACAACGTAAAGACAGTTGGGAAAAAGAATCGGTTGATCTTTGAAAAGTTCAGACGTCTGACTGAGCAATTTACACAGCGCAGTATCCGTTTCGGAGGCAGTTCTCATAACAATTATGAGGGTGCTAACGTTCGTCCCTCCATCAGCGCGGGGAACCGATAGATACTACGCCCAGCACCGGCAGATGGCGTGAGATTATGACGCTCCACCTAGCAAAAAAAAGGCGGTATTGTCGGGCCTGGCTCGACTTACTGGATAATTTTCACTTACTCGGCCATTGTACGGTTGACAAGTGCTTAACCAAGATCTCCCGCATATCCCCGAGCCCTTTCTTCACAGCGGAGGATTGATCAACGGACGAAAAGTAATTTTTATCTCGGATCCGTTACTCGATTTTACCCCCCCCACTCCCACAATTCGATTCGGAGGAGGGGAGAGAGAAGGTTCCGAATAAAAATCCGACGTTGCTCCCCTGCGTTAAAAAAAAAATGAGTATAATCGACCGAAAATAAATTGATATGCAAGCGGCGCCAATTTGCTACGAGGTCGAAATCTGTTATAGTTCTCCATCAAACCAGCTACTTGGCCTGGGGTTAAATTGCTAGAAATTATAGAGGACTCGGGTGCAGGTGCGTGCGACGTTACCGTCTAGCTAATGGGAAGGTTGCTTTTTCTTTCTCCTCCTCCTTTTATCTGATGGCAAGTAACAGGTGTCTAGACGGAATCAAATCCAATGGATGCACATTATTCATTGTTTCTTATCGATTCGAAAGAAAGAATTTTCGACATTCGGTATCGGGCAGGAAGACATCCAGCTATTTCGATTTTTAACGGTTTCCACGCCGCTACGAAACAGTTCGAGATGACTCAGCGGGAGAAAGTCGTTCAAAGAAAGGGGAGGAAACAACGCCTGTGACGAAAGAACAGAACAAGAAATTACCCAGTTCGAAACCGTTAAACTTACTCACTGAATCGATTTATAAATCCCCCCCAACGCTTGGAAAATTTAAAGAATTCGAGCATTTCAGAATCGCTTCATTCACAAAACCCAGTTTCGTCCAGCGAGTGAAATTTATCATGTTACACATCCAATCAATTTTCTTTTTTCTGACAGGGGTAGAATAAATTGACTGGTGCACTATCGCCATCTGTTAGTCACTTTATTAATGAAATACTAACCTTTTTTATTCTTTTTTTTTTCATTTTACCATTACATCACTCGATTTTGTATTACTCTCATATATATAAATTATCAACAAACCTATATAATTTGAATAATTTTATATAGTATGATGATTATTACTTTCATTACAGTAGGCCATATACAAATATAATTTGTACAATTACTTTAGCTTCTATTTTTTTTTTTTATGAGAGATTACTGATTAAAATCATCAAAAAGTCCGGTTTCTTCTACATTCCAACCCATATATTATATAAAAATAATAAACATGATTTATCAAAAGTGTAATATATTTTTTATTTTTTTCTTATCGGATAATTCTCACATTACTCTTTCTTGACAGTTAACATCATTTCTAAGACATTTAATGTAACACAAAGTCAACTTATGTCTACGCGATCCGATGGTAGTTCAATTATTATGCAAATATCGATAATTAATCAAATAGTTAACTATAAAAACAAGAAATAATAATCAAAAATATAAAATTTAATAAATTTTACAAGTGATTATACAAGATAGCATATATGAATATGAATTTCTAAATTTGATTTTTTTCCCTTTTAAATATTAAAAGCTGCAAATCCTTTAATATCTAATAAACTGATGAAAGTGGTTTATAAAATGAATATTTTATACTTTAAAAATGCTTCAAGTCAATAAAAGATTTTACTCTACGTAGAAATGACATTTCATACACGAAGATATTAGTTTATACTAAATTAATTGGCATTAAAAAATTGATTAACGTAAAAAACTGCCTACCAGAAAGATCTGTTTTTGATTTTTTTTTAAATAGTTATTACACTATAATTACTAGAACAGGTATTAGGAAAGTTAATAAACATTATGACGTTATATTGCATTTTGTTTTTCTTTTTATTTATATATTATCTATGCAATAAATTTAATATAATCAAAATTTATATGCAAGTACAACACCTATCTCTAATCAGAAAGATTTTTCCATTTTATCAGTTCAGAATTAGATATATTACAAAACTAATGAAAATAGTTTAATAATATATTTTCATCTTTTTAACAAGAGAAATTGTATTGGAATTCTCATATAATTTTATAATGTGGTGTAAGCAGTGGTGATATTCGAAATATTTAACAAAGGGTTCGCTAACAGAAAATTTTCCTTAACAATTTTTTTCGCTCAAATGGTGCACCGGAAGGCTGTATTTAGTAGTGTTACAGAGTATAATACGTATATTTTAATATATTTTTTAAAAGAATCAAAACCATTGAGAAATGTTACATGTGTTTAACAAGGTTCGGAAAACTTTGAAAATGTTAACAACGGGTTCGGCCGAACCTGTGCGAACCCGCTGAATATCACCACTGGGTGTAAGTGATTAATTATGTATAGTAAATCATGATGCTGCATTTGATTTTCAATCATTAGTTCTGAATAATTTTAAAATGTGCCAAGATTCAAGTTTACTATATGAATTCTGAAGCAGAAATGTGTACATTCTGATTTCTGTTAATTCGTGCTTACTTCTAAGCATAAGAACTATTCAAATATAAATGTTACTTATTAGCATTTCAACTAATGAACTCAATGAACTTACATATAAAAAGATAAAATCTAAATAACCTATTTCCCAAACAAACTAAAAATAAAGCAAATGTGTATCCTAATTTTATAGTTTTTATGGTTTTATTTGACTGATAAATCTTATGTATTCAAATTTTAAAATTTAATTGCAGTTAAATAATTAAATATTCTTAAAATATATGAAATTACTTACGTTCAATAGTGTTTCTGGAGTAGTAGCTCCGTGATCTACAGGAGATTCTTTGCGACCATCTAGAAAATTTTAATAAAATGATTACCTTTACATAAAAAATATCTAACATACCAGTATTTAAATCAAATATTTTTTTATGATGTAAAATATCAATTTTCAAGAAAATATTTTGATTCTGTTCAATAATTAATTGGAATTAGAAGGAAAGTAAATCATAAAAAGTCAAATGGATATTAATCAGATAATGATCACATTATTATAATTTCAATAAATCATAAGAAAGTTTGTTCATTTCTTGATTATTTTCTGTAAAGAATTCTCCTGCAATTTCTACCACTGGAAAAAGATTTCCAATCAGAATCACATTCACAATATTTCAAAAATTGCAGGAAAAAGTTCAAACCAATTCAAAACCAATGAAAATTTACAAAAGATTAAATTAAACATAAAAATTGAAAATATAACATAAGTATTATTAATACTTAATCCTTCTTACTTCCATTTAAATGTGTTACCGACCATTTTAAAACAGTATTTTAAAAATTTTATGTCACATGACTAAATATCCTTAAAGAGNTAACATAATGTTATTTGAGCTAATATCTCTGTGAATTATTCCTGTTAATGATAGAAACAGTTTTTACATATAGTAGATACATATAAAAGAGAAATAAATTAATAAATACGTTTAGAAAATTCACTTTTGTCGTGAATGTACATAATGGCCGAAGCCACTTGTGCAGCAATAATGTTCGCTTTGATTTCTACTAATGGTCCATTGTTACGTAAGAAATTTGTCAAATTCTGTCCATCGATATAGTCCGAGACAAAACAGAAACTGAAAAAAATGCAATTATTTACACCATTGCAATAAATAATTACTAATTACTAATGTGAATGGAATTAAAATTTACCTAGTATTAATTTCGAAGAAGGTTATTAATCTTACAATGTGTGGATGAGTTGACACACAGCTCCATGCAGTGTGTTCTCTCGTTATTTTATACAGCTAAATCAAGATAAACAAAATATAAATTTAAAATATCCTCTACACGTTTATCATTTATGTTTACAGAATATAGATTTCTCTTGCAATTAGTGTATCAACAATAAACGAATACAAATTATTATATAAATTTCAGTTGTGTTTATGAAACCAGAAAAAAAAACATTTTATATCATTTTATCCTTGGGGATTAAGAAAAGGGCAAAAAGAGGGTGCTCAAGTGCTCAAATGTACAGGCGTCCCTGGTGTATTATCTCATTAGAGGTCAGTTTCTCATAGAAGTCCTCCCTCATTCTCTCTTGGCAGACTACCATAGTGTTGCGTTGTCTTATCCAATCCGTAATTTACAACACTACTGTTTTTAATGCAGGTAAAAACGAACAATATCAAAAGCAAATCTAAAAGAAAACCTGTTTATGGCAACACTCTTTCTTCTTGATTACTTTCAAAGCCACTTGTTCATCGGAATTCTTAGGCCGAGCCAAATACACTACTCCAAAATGTCCATTGCCTATTTCTTTAATGATTTCGTATTCACCAATAATATTTCGTTTACGTTTCGATGAATGATCAGAATTTAATTTAGTGTCTGAAAGTTTATTTTCTTGTCCACAATTCTGCATAATCATACAATTTATTATGAAATTCTGTAATCGATGGACGACAGAAAAAGAAATGATATCTTACGTGTGAATCGGATGTATCGTTCTGTTTGCGACAGCAACATAACATTTTTTGGAATATATTTCTGCAGAATTCTGTAGAATTTCCGTTTTTCTTTGAATCGTTTGTCTGCAATTGGGAATCACATTGCTTCAAGGAACCACACTCTGTGGTACGCAAATCATGGACGTTCTAACGATAACAATAAAAATTATTAAAATAAATATTTGTAATTTATTGGTATTATTTATCAATTTTCGCACTTTGTTCTCATTTTTTTAAAACCAATTCATTAACACCTTACCTCGAATTGAGGGTGTGAACGATAATTGTGTGGGGTTCGAGGGGGTTATAATAATATTCCTGAAAAATTTAATCATGTTACATTATCAAGAATTTTGCAGATTTTTCTCTCAAATTCACGATAAAACGTTTTTAAAATCTCAAAATGTTTAAAATTTTAAAATGCTAATTGATCTGACTGCATATTAGAGACTGTTTGACCCCCGGATTTTTGCAATATTCTCCTCAGTGTTACATTTTATAATAACTCTCCACATAAACAATTAATGTTAGTTTTAAAACTGACCTGCAACTGTCAGTAAAGGTTTGTATTAACTGTCAAAACATTAAAACAAAATTTAAAAAAAATTAAATAAATTGATGTGATTTAAAAGTTCTGATTTTGGATGATTTTAAAATATATTCTTACAATACGACAGAACAATAAGTAAGACTTAATACATGCATAAAATTAAAATTAATTAATTATATGCGATTGTGCAAGATTCAGCACTGCGCGCCTCAGAAAAAATTCCATTTTTTTTGGAACATGGTTTTGATGATATCAGATAAGGAAAGCAGTTAAGCACATAAGAAAGATACAAAAACTTTATAAAAGAAGGATTTGTACATCTAGTTGTATCCTCTAATAGTAAAAATGTTTCGATATAAAAATGGATCCTGCTATATTCGTAATAAGGGTTGAAGCATTACTCCTTGCCGCCTGCTGATGGCTATACTTGTTCAACCATATTCAGCAAACTAAATCAACAAGGCAGCTAAGATGACAAATTCCCTAACTTTCCATGACTTTTTCCGAACACTAATGAAAATCCCTGACTTTCCAGGTGCGTAGGAACCCTGTATATAGGCCTAATACTAGTGACAAAATTAAATAAATGCTTTCAAATTTGATCAGTCGTATAAAGATATTTATGCAGAAATTAGTTTCAAAGGACTCAATATTGAAAGCTAATAATTCATTTGGACGAATCCTTAAAAAAATTTTAGATCTGGTTCTAAATAAAACAATAATTCACAAAATTTTCTTCGTTATCTGCAACTTACTGCAATCATCAAACAGAAGCTCACCGGAAGATATTTCTGATATGTCGTTTGATCTTTATCTTTATACCTGCTAAAATGACGATGTCATCTCGAAAATAGTTCAAAAGCCGAACTTCATAGTGTGACTCCCAGTGTTCAGGGTACGAAGACCGTTTGGCCCAGTGGCCAAGCGGTCTTCGTACCCTGAACACTGGGAGTTCGGTCGTGGGTTCGCGCCTCGCTCGGCCACGTGGTTTTCCGGGTTTTCCCTACGTCTGTAACGCCTAAATAGGGGCAGTTTCCCTTAAAAAATCTCCCGGAAGGCACCCACCCCTAGACAGATCGCCCAAGTGTTGCGTTGCCACAAACAAACATAGTGTCCGATTCAAATCGAGAGATCGCAGTAATTACAAAAAAAAAAACAAAACAAAATTCAGCAGCGAGTTGTATAACATACCCGGCGAAATGTAAAATTCTGTGCGGCGCCATCTGTTAAGATATTTTACTTTTATATTACCAATTCTTATAAAATGGAAAAACAACTTAATTTTGAGGGTAAAGATGACTTTTATTTAAAAAGAAATTGTAAATACTAATAACTGGTAAAATCTTCAATTAAATCCGACACCACTCGAGATAAGACACGTGACGCCATCTTCCCACCACCCTAAACTTTAACCACCAAAATTTAATAGCATCAATCCCTCTAATACACAAACCGCCTTACAAAATTTCAGAAATTTTCGACAAAAGGCACAGGAGTTCTTAAGCTTCAAAGTGGATGAACAAAATAGTGCCTTCCACACTAAAAAAGCCCCAAAATTTTTGCATTTCTCAATGTTTCAAAGTCCCGAGTCCAAAAATATAAAAATCTTGGGAAAGGGGAGGCCATTTTTTTTACCGATCGCTGTCCTTATAAGTAATATACGAGTCGGGAAAGTAAAGTTAACTATCTATCCTGTCAGCAAAACATCAGAACTAATTACTTGACAAATATGGTTATAAAGAGGTACACATTAATTCCCGAAGTGATAGATTATTCGAAATGATTCGTGTGCTTATGAATGTTATTAAAAAAACCAATGAAAACATCTGTAACAAAAACTGATTAAAAAAAAATTGTAAATATTTCACAGGACAATTGTAATGTAGAGCTATTTGTTCACCGTTTTTCTTGTGGACAGAATGAAATTTTTATTGTTGAAAATGTTATTTATTAAAACTCTGAAACTGGGTCAGTAGAAATATGTTTCAACCATTAAGAACATTGTTACAAGGCCATTTATTGTGAATCTTTAATCGTGATAATAATATAAGAATCGATTTGAAGGATCTTTACCGTTTAGCTCATCAGGAGTTGAATGTTCAAATTTCTGAAGAGTGTAACATAAATGATCGGGTACAGAGTTAAATCAATGAATGGGGAAAATTTGCGAAGAGTAAATTCTGCAAAAATAGAAACATTATTTTTCGTATACTTGAGGAGTTATACTTATAATCCGTGAAAGTTACACCATAAGGATATTTGAAACTGAATTAATTAATCATAGTGAATAAAAAATCTTACACAAACAATATTTTTAGTTTGAATAAGCAAGAGCTATTAACTCAGGAAAAAAAAATATCCAGACCGAGTTATTCAACTTTCCCGGCAACTGCGTGTGTGGAGCCATCTGTTAATATTTTATAAAAAAAAACTTTTCTATATTATTAATTATTATAAAATGGCAAAAAGCTTAATTTTGAAGGTAGCGATGAGGTTTATAAAAAAATTTTAAATATTAATAACTAATAAAATCGTCATTAAGTCGATCCTACTCGAGATACGACACACGACCCCTCCTTTATCTCCCTTACCCGTCGACTATTAACCACCAAAATTTAATAGCATCAATCCCTCTAATACATAAACCTTCTTACAAAATTTTATAAATTCTCGACAAAAAGTACAGGAGTTATTAAGTTTCAAAGAGAGTGAAGAAAATCGTGCCCCCACACAGACATCACCCGATTTTTTTTGCACTTCTCGACGTTTCAAGGTCACGAGTCCAAAAATGTAAA